ATATTTTCGACTATGACTAATCCTCGTGATTGATTTTCGTTCGCTATTGCGCAGTTGTTGATGTTCTATCGTATCGAATACTCGATACTTAATATATTCTATATATGATACGACGACAAAAACCTATTATTGAAACATGTTTAGCTCTCTATTTTTGGCAGACTAAATATTAGTTCTACCATTGCTACATAATCCCCAAAACGAGAGCTAACAATTGGTGGAGAAGTTGGGCAATTTGTCTGCCCTATTATTTTCATATATTATTATTATTATTTCTTCTAATCCATTATTCATTTCTTCTGATCTTTTCCGCAAAATTAATTTGCATTGGCTTATTACAATTATTACAATTATATTTGTTAAACCACACTACACTACAATAACACGTAACATTTTATTAAAATGGATACTAAAGATAGTTTTGACATTTTCATATCGAAAAACTTTGTTCGTTTTTCAGGCAAAGAAAATGCCTTTGAATGGTTAGATGAAACTGAAAGTAAATTCAACGAGTTTCGTATGGTGCGAAGTCTTCGTTTTAGAGCAATTCCTATGTTGATTGAAGGAGACATAGAATTAAAATACTTTCGAGTTCGAGAGTATATTCGAACTTTTGACGATTTCTATGTATTTCTGTTGTCATTATATGACCTAGAATTTTCTACTTCATCTGAAGGACAATTTTTTCTAAAGTTACTCGACAATCAGTTCGACAATCCATCTAATGGAAAAGTTCAGTGCTCTGATGAACATGACTATTGTCAAATAAAATCTATTGACTACTTCTGTGAGTCCTTGTCGTCTGAATTTGAAACTAATTGTTCATTTCCATCGGAACAAAAGTTTCTAACTATCGTTACAGAGAATATATCAAATGAGGAATTTTTAATTCCAACTACATTGACTGACAATGTAATGGAAAGATGTCTAGATAGTTTCGATAATATAAGTTCCGAAAAAGAAACGAATGAAACATGTTCAAGTATTACTGTAGCTTTTGGTGCCACCAACACTATTGGCGAGATACCAGTTAAAAAGCTACTCATGATTACTACTGATTATTCTTTCGTTGTGATTGGTCAAGTACTAAATGATCATCGTGGAACTACCGTAGGAGACTCGAAAAAGAATTCGAAGGTGCACAGGAGTAGGAAGAGTCATATAATTGAATCGACTAAACGAGTTGATCATCTTCCAGAGTTATTATACATTCCTAATAGTTATCGATATTATTCTAATATTTATCTACTTCGAACAAATGTCCTTCGATTATATATCTATAATAGAATGACACATAGGGCACGGAAAACTATATCATATAAAACGAGAAAAAAAAACATTACTAAACGTTTACAAACTAACCTTTTCGGGAAAAATAGTTACATAGAATGTTTTCGAGTTCATCGATAATAGGCACTCATGTTACTTGTTTCGTTTTGTTTTTTTGTTTTCGTTTATACACACTGTTGTTGTTATTCGTCTACCTTTTTCTAATAGTTTATGTTACTTGTGTTGGTGTATCTATCTAACTTCCCTTTTTTTCTTTTTTCGTTCCGTATTATATAATCGATATGTGATCCTTTTTTCGACTTCCTCAATCCAGTGCGAAGAAGTCTCGCATGGCTACCTTCCTGGAAGAGGGAGGTGTTAGCGTCAGTAGGTGGCACTCACTGACGCTAAACGTTTATTCGTGTTATCTGTTGTTATGATCTCTATTTTGATTTGTTACGTGATATTTTTGACTATGACTAATCCTCGTGATTGATTTTCGTTCGCTATTGCGCAGTTGTTGATGTTCTATCGTATCGAATACTCGATACTTAATATATTCTATATAGGATTCGACGACAAAGTCGATTGTTAAAACATGTTTAGCTCTCTATTTTTGGTAGACTAAATATTAGTTCTACCATTGCTACATAATCCCCAAAACGAGAGCTAACAATGCCTATAAGATAAATTTTCATGCTGAATCCAAATACAGTCATAGTTGCAGCCCATTGATAGCATGTATTTCTAATATATAGAAAAGTAAGTGAAAAACCTTACAAAACTATAGCTTTTTGTGAACTTTTGCTTCTTTCTAGTGTTTACCTTTTATTGAATCTATCGGATAGAGAAACTGGGTAATAGCTATGCATGCTGATCCAAATATGGAATATCGGTGCATATGTGGGAAAAGATGTCAGTCAATATTCAGCGAAAAGATTTTGAATCTCATCGCATAGAGGTTTTACAATTGCGTACCTGTAGCGTGTACCAAGTTTGGGATGTTAGCAAAGAAATATATATCACTTCCTAATTCAGCATCGAGTGCGTATCGTGAAAGAGGAAACTGAAATGAAGTTTGTAATCGGGATGGATGTAGTGATGTCACATGTAGTTCTTTCCAGTTAGCTTCCACATCTTGGACAATTGCTAATCATCAATCATCTTGGTATTAGACACAAATACAATCAATAGCATTATAATCATTCATTGCCAACAACAAAGCATTTTTCTTCAGTATAGGCCATTACATATACAAAAACACGCAAAAAAACTCATGTACTGCTCAAAACATCTATGCTTACCTAAGACTTTTCACTGTTTTCTCTTTATATTAGAAATATCTGCTATCGATGGGCTGCAACTATGAGTGTATTTGGATTCAACATGAAAATTTATCTTATAGGCATCATTAAAATGATGATTTTCAGAATCATAATCGAAAAATCTCAAGGTTTAACATTGCGAATTTTAAGAAATTGTAGGCATCATAACTTTTGCAATTCCAGGATGGGAGAACTAATATTCTTGGCAGAGGTAGCACTTACTGAGGGCTACTTATAAAAAAAATTTGAATGAATTCTGGCGTATAGTTCTCGAGAAAATGAAGGCCTAACATAGGGTTTCCAGAAATCTCTGGTTTTTAAAAGTCGAATATCTCAACTAAGGAATATATTCTGAAAATATAATCCAGCTATTTCGAACTACCGTTACTTAAGCTTCATTTTGGTTGTAATAAATCATGGTGTCTAGGGCCACATGGAGGTTTTCTAGAGTACTCAGTTTTAGCAAAAATAACATTTTTCCGGTTTTTGCAGGTAAGCTGGCGCTTCGAGATTTTTATGTACACACCCGAACAGTATTGCATAGAGACAACTTTTTATGCTCTATCCAATGGCCTAATTAAAATTTTCAAACCGTGTTCACGAAAACCGAAAATTGTGGGTTTAGGGGACCGGACTTCTAAAAAATCGGTTTTTGAGTCCTACCTGTAGGACTTAGCGCATGATTTTTCTAAAAACAAAAGATGGTTTCGTACACAACTCGATACGGGCTACAAAACTAGCATGGTTAAATCTTGCCTGCAGAAGGTCGATGTAAAACTGGGCGGACCTGCGTGAAAGCACCCAAATGAGTGTTTCTAAATTTTTCTATATATTTTGGAGCCCGACAAATGACTTGTTGAATATCTAACTGTAGCCTGAAAACAATAAAACTACCTGTCTATATTAATCGGTTGCCAATGTGGTGAATCATCACGTCAACGACAGATTTTCGTTGATATTTTTAGCTCGATGAAACTGTAAATGAGTGCAGGAAATTTTCATAGAAAATCAATCTGATTTTTCTGATTGCGTTAAATGACTATTTTATTTTTGCTGTTGAATGGTCCTTGAGAAATCTTCAAAATTAGCGCCCTCTATGATATTATTTTATTCATATGTCCGGAATAGTCTTTCATCAGAGACTAACTCAAATACATTTGGAATCAGCAAAACTAATCTGATGTTTGTAAAATTTTCATCTAATTATTTTTTAGTTTCATCGAGCAAACAAAAAATGTAGTATATAGACATTTCTCGCATTACTCTTTTTCGTCAGACGACATACTATTTTGATAGATGCCATGAACGATAGCGGCTCAAAAAGGAAGACTACATTCAGCAAAAATCACATCTAATAAATCATGAGAATTAGTCGACGAGTCATCAATTCCGAGCACTATTGCTAAATTTTTGTTTATGATAGCATGCTTATGACACCTTCATGGAATCAACGTAATATTTATCAATGTTGTGGGTGCTGAAAAAGAGGAAAGCAAATCTGAAAAGAATTATTTTATCAAAACGAGATCTTCGTATGGTTATATACCTTCCATAATTACTAAATTTTCCAGAATCCATTGATGACAGATTTCAAATGTACTATCTACAATTTTGTCATGGACTATAATAAGATGTAAAACTTCAGTCTTTTATTTCATTCAATTTTGCATGAAAATCCTGAGTATTATTACAAACCAGATTAACGTTTTTGCTTTTTTATTTTCTCTTCAGATTTCTTGTAGTAATAAATACAAATTATTATCTTCCTAGTGCAACACAGACGTAATATTTTTCGAGTGATTGATACCTGCTTAAATGGATTCACATTCGTTTTGCGTGAACGACATTGCTGCAGAAAAAAATAAAAATCGAGAAAAATATAATAAACAACGGCGTAGTAATTATCAACATCGTACACATTTATCAAAAGATATTAAACCTTTCGAAAAAAAGAAAATTAAACAATTAAAAACAAAAGCCAAAACACAGTTTGGAAACAATGAAACGTATTTGCAACTCAAACATCATTTATTCCGTATTAAACCAACTAGACGTGATCAAGAAATACCATCAGTTAATGATTCTCCACGAGAAATCCATCAATATGATACATTTAATTTTAATTTTACTTTGAACCCGTTATTAGACGATCAATTAATTGCTGAATCAAATGATAATAGTTTTGTTTTCGATCAAAATATATCATTCTCACTGAACCACAATGACGAATCAGGCATAAAAAAAAATTATTGCGACTTTTTTACGCTTATCATTTTAATGGTTTTGATAGGCTACAGAAATGTTCTGGCCTTCTTAGCAATGAAAACTTTAGAATATCTGTCATAAATCATAATCAAGGCGCTCTTGCTGGATTCTTCTCAGCCGTATTACTATCGCTATAGTTTGACATTTAAAATTCGTTTAGCTTCATTGCACAGCGAATTAGCATGCGCTAATTTAGTTAATTAGTTTCACATTTTATCAAAATATAAGCCCAGTGTCTTGATACAAATTAAAATGAAGATTTAAAGGTTTTAGCTCTGTCAGTGAAACAAAAGCTGTGTTGATGATCTGGTAGAAATAAAGAAAATCAATATTCTTTGTTAATTGTAGTTCCGCGTCTAATGCATTTTCTAAAAAAAAGTCATGTAGACTAGTATAATGTTAGACGATATTAAGTTGTCAATTTTTCAATATATCGTTTTGCACATAGAAAATAATTATCCATTTTCAGGTTTCTTTGTCATATGACACTTTTAAAAGTTTTATAGGGTTAATATTTCCCGAATATTATTCATTTCTAATTAAAACATTACAGTTGCCTATTTAGAAGCCTATGAAATGTTGTTGATTCTTTGTCGCTCTATTAAAATCAAATTTTGTGCGTCTAAAGCTTCCTCAAGAGGATTTTCTTCTAAAATGTTTGTTTATTTTTTAGAATCTACTTACTCAAGTGATGAACATATCGAAAATGAATCATGAGATCAAATGGAATCTGAATTACATCCATTTACTCATATATCAGTCAAAAATGCCATGGTCGAATTTTTACAATTAATACGAACATCACAAATTAGCAAAAACGAATCTGAAAAGTTTTTATCCTTCGTCAAATCTATTTTACCGTTTCCTGATCAAATGCCGAAAAATATGAATACATTATTAAAAGGACTTAATACAGCTGATTATTTTAACAGAAGAACAATTTGTATTCTTTGTGAAAAAGAACTTCAAAAGAATCAAAATTTGTGTAGTCAATGTACTAAAAAAGAAAAAAAGATACATCGCTCACATTTTTGACACAGATATACACGCTCTATTATCCAATATTGTTTCGAGACATTCATCAGATATCGAAGAATATAAAAAATTCATTCTAAATCCTGATTCACAAACACCCTATGATATACCATTGGGGAAAGCTTATCAACGTTTACTACGACAATATTCAAATGAAAATTTATTAACAATACTTCTTCATGTTGACGGTATATCGGTAGTAAAATCCACAAACTTAAAATTGTGGATTTGTGCTGCTAGTCTTATAGAACTTCCGCCAAGTCTTCGAACTCGTCGATCAAATATGTTCTTGGTCTCTATGTAAATCGGCTATTCGGAGCCAAACGTGAAAACATGGCTAAAATAATCCTTTTCTAATCTCAATGCACTTAAGACAGCAGGTTCGGCGTAGTTTATTACACTCCTAAAGTTTAAAGAAGTTAAAAGATATGTTCACGAAATTCTTTTTATATTAATTCCAGAGAAGCTCAATTGACTAATAGAAACGTTTATGGTCATCTTGGAACTTCAATATTAGATGAAGTTGTTGATGTTTCTTTACCACGTGCATTAATTATTGACTATGCTCACGTCTCGTTATTGAGACATTTTCGAGATGTTATTAAAACTGTTGCTTCGTCACTTGCACCAGCTGTGCGAGAAAAAATCGACGTTTCTTTACGTGCACAAAGATTCCCTTACTTCTTTCACAGGAAGATGAGAGGAGTTGCAGATTTTTCTTTTATTAAAGCTGTAGAATTAAAAAATTTGTTGTTGTATGGATTCATACCGCATTTTATGAATCATCTAACAATTGACCAATTATGCTTTATATCTTTATTTACTATTGGTGTTCGACTTTTTCATGCTGATAACGTCTTCACTCCTATTATCAGCACTACAGCAAATGAGTTGCTTTGTAAATATTATGCTGATCACCATATTTATTTTTTGCATCATGCAAATTTTGTGTTACACCTTCATCAGCATTTCCAAGACGTTTATGAATATCATGGTCCATTGTCATCAATAAATACATTTTCTCAAGAAGATTTTATAGGATATATAAAAAAAAATAAAAATGGTACCACGTCTTTCGAAAATCTTTTTGCGTATTATTACAACATAGATGTTTTATTAAAAAAGTTCAAAGAAACGAATTTGATACGTGTAGTTGATGGTAAGAATAGTTTTCGTACTTTTGAATGATAAAACAGTATAGGTAGACAAATTAGGAAAGACATAATGCAGAAGCTTTTCCATCAGTAAAGACATCTGTACGCTTAGCATCTTGAATTATATAGCATTTTGGTATACAGAACAATTCATGTTTTTCTATTTAGGTCCATTGGATGTATGTCTAGTAAGACAAGAAAATCCATTATTTCATGAGCTATCCAATTATCATCAGAAAAGTTGTGATCGTAATAATTATTGTCAATGTATAAAAACATTTCGGCGTTGTCTTATATTTAAAAAAATGTACCATTCCCTTCAATATGTTAAACGTAAAAATACAACTAGTTATTTTGTTAAGTACTTGTTTCGTCCAGGTAACTTTGAATTTGGTTCTATAAAAGTCTTCTTTCAACATCAACAACAAACGTATGCGTTAATTCAACATTTTCAAGTCATCAATGCATTTAGCGATTATTTAAAAGATAGCCGCTATTATGGTCTATTGAAACAGGCCATAGACAATTTCTATTTTGTGTTAAAGAAAACAAACATAACTCGAATTGTTTTAGTTGAGAAAATTCAAACACATATGATTGTCTTTCAAAACATTCCAGAAAAAGCATTTATTCTTGCCACTCCAATATCTGCAATCACTGAACATGATTGATAAGTTATTATTTCTCATCGCTTAACTAACCCTATATACTAACATGTTTATTTTTATGGAGTCTTTGTGAAACATCCTATTTTGTTTTCTTCTATTCCATATGATTATGCTCTACACATGTTGTTTATTTGTTTTTATACTTTTTTTCATGGCAGTTTTATCTATGTTTCAGATTATTAAATGTTTCAATTAAGCCCCCCCCCTCCACACTAATTTCTATTTTTGCTCCGGATTATCCGATCTAGCTGAAATTTTCAGGGAAAGTGTATCTACTATTAGTAAACTTACGAAAAAAATTTCAGTTCGAAATATTGAGCCAATCATGATTTATCTCACGATTATTGGCCAAAATGGTGGTGCCAGCGTTTCCCAAATTTCTCAGTCATTTCAAATGTTAGAAAGCTCGGGTCACTTTTAAACTACACCGAAAACGTTGCGCTACAACTTAACAAGGTTGGATTTTTGTTTTTCATTTCCAATTTTTTTATTCAAGCTTATCTCGTACTGTATGGCAAAAAATAGGCTATACCTTGTAAAAGATTTGAATCTGATGAGATATTAAACAAACAAATCTTCGATTCTGGCTTTGTTAATTTCTAGAACCGATCATTGGAGTCATTTTAACACCAACCGCAAGTCTCTAGCGTTTAAAATGGCGGAGAAATTTGGGAAATACAAAAGTGTTAAAGCAAAAAACTCTATTTTGAGAAAAACGTAAAACAACTTTGAGATGTGAATTTCAAAACTTTTTCTACAATAACATGCTGCAAAAGGAAGTTTTTAGTGATTTCCTATCGATCATTGATCAGAACGAGTTGAATGGACGTATTCAAAGGCATATGGAAACAATTTTTTTGCTCCATATGTTTATGTTATATCCACTGTAAAATTAATAGAAACTGTTTGGTATCATAGAAGCCAAATCATCTGAATTTATATGAGTGATTTTATACCATATAATAATAGTAGTTGAAAATTATCTGAAACCGATGAAAATATGTGAATTCCTCTCAAAGAAAAAAGATCCTAGCAAAGTTTATTGACCAGTTTTTCGAAAAACTTGGATAAATTATAAGAAGTTTTAAAAAATTAATCATCCCCTCCCGGTTCATAATCCATATCTGCATCATCTTCAAATTTTCTGAACGAATTCGTTTTATAACTGACTTTCTACTTTTCTTTTTGTAAGCATTATTTCTTTTACCCATTGAAACTTTTAGTTTTTCGATGAAATATATAAGTTATCGTATAACGAAAAACTGTTATCACCTACTGCTGAAAATACGATTCACAAGTGATTTCTATCTATAAATTTAGTAAATCAGGTCCAAATAACAAGTTTTATTTACAATTTTGTTGTCTTTAACAATAAATACATTCTTACATTCATGAAAAAGCACTGGAAAGTCCTTGGTACTTATTCTCCCAATAAAAATTGACTTACACATGAATGATCAGTATCTTCATTCTCTTCTTTCGTTTCTATATATTCGCCACTCGCACTATATATCAAGCTATTATACTTAGCGATACATGTTAATCATAGAAACTACTTTAAAAAATCAACAGAGAAGCTCAAAAACTTTTAAGATCAAAAAATCTTTAAAAATATGTGCTTTTCTAGAATAGGGGTTTCAGAAAAACTGATGTAAGACCCTGAAAACTCATCATAAAATACATAAATTATAGTGCGTTCGATAGCGGACACTTTGCTCTATAAAATACGCTATAAATTGAAAAAGTGAAAAATTTGATGAAAATTGACTTTTTGGGGTGGGGGGAGAGCCTTAAATCAATCAACATTTCAACAACAACAGCAGCAACAGCAACAATTGCTATTAACAATGAATAATTTGAATTATGATGTAATACCATTTTCAATTGATAATCGTCTTGATGGTAACATACAATTTATCTTCGATTTATTTACAATAAATCAATCGTTTAAAATTCGAACATTATTAAATAAGAATTTATTTCAATTCAATCAAAATTCTATTGATTATGATTTAAATATACGACATAATTATTTAAATCAATACGAAATAACAACAAAGACATTTTCACAAACAACCATTGAATCATTAAATGAAATTTTTCAAAATATGCTTTGCCATTTTATTGAGCAAAACCATTTAATATCCTATGAAATATTTAATCATGTTGAACATCTGCTTTCATCATATTTAATTATTTCATTGGCGAATTATTCAAAAAATCTCACTCACAAACCAGTATTAACACAAACCGAAACGAGTAACAATCAACCACCAAGTAATATGAATTAAAAACCATTATTTATCATGTCAATTGATACATTGGATAAATTATTAGTAATAATTTATTACATTTTTTTATTAAAATCATCATTAATAACAATACGTCTATGGCATCATGTTGTTACTTTATTATATTACGCAAGTACAAATATCGACTTAGCCAAGCAAATGAAACAACTATAGTTTAAAGGTGATATATCGATGATAGTTTATTTGCTAAAATCTGGTTAAAATTTATTCAAACAACACATGACATGGTCGATGAAAGTACAGTCGATATTGTTATTAATTATTTTGAACGTTTATTTATGCCCGATGATGAAAATATTAGCATCATGGCAAATATTAAATTTAGTAAAAGAGTAGTAACCTCCGGTGAGTTGTAATAGATATTTCGTACGGATTCGACACTACAATATCCCTAGTTCTTTCGATTTTATTGACCAAGAAAAAAAAAAAATTTTCAAAGGCAGCGCCCCCCCCCTCCCCGCTATTTACGTCCCTTAAAACTCATAGTTTTTCGCTACGGGTAGCAGTGTTTGTGCAACAAGGAACTTCTAGAACCTTTCAATAATTAACTGTGACCAAAAAAGGCGACTTTGCAGGTCCCTAAATATCACTATGTAACTACAGGACAAGGTACAGTTCATCAGATCTAAGCATTTCGCACCCGATGCATTCTATTAGATGTATATTGTGCTCACCCATTAGAATATTTTCTTTTTCGAACATAGACGATTCAAATCAATCTCAAGACGTTTCGCCATCATCGACAACAACTAATGTCAATAATCAATATCTTAATACTCTTCTATCAATTCTCGATCGCATCATAATCTATGGTTTTCACGGTCCGCTAAATTTTCATTTGAAATTTTCAACATATCTTTTTAAACAAAGTATTTCTCAAGCGACATGATCACTACGTCTTAAACTTTGTCGTCATATAATTGATTTCGTTTGGCCATTTTGTTATTCATATACACTATCATCGAAAACATCATAGTTTTATTACACTGCTGATTATCGTGTATTATTGTTATGGTGACATACTAGATAGTTTTTGTTCTTTCGAACTTCACGGCGTATTAGACAAATTACCTCTTTTCTTAATCTTAAGATCATGATAAAGACAAATTTATTTTCAAATAGAACAAAATATTGAGACAGACGAAAATTTCACGTTTATGAAGTACAAGAAACTACTAGTTTTTTTCAAATGAAGATTGTCGGGAAAGACCACCACAATCTCTAAAAGATAAAAACAAAATTATACATTGAAGCAAGATAATTTTAATAAACATTCAATACTTTGCAAATATCTTGTCAACATTTATTGAATCTATTCGATTGGCTCATACCCTGAATATATCCCCAGGTCGATCAACTTGTGTCGTAAACGGCCGTTTGGCCACAATTTACGGCTGTTTGGTATACACCGTATTACGGTCGTTTGGCATCGTGCCATATACGATCGTATACAGTCGAATACTGCAATATCCGACCACACTACGGCCGTTAGTAATCGTTTACGACACGGCGAAATACGGTGCATGTCAAAACGTCGAATTACGGCGATTTATGGTCGGAAACGTTATAAAACGGTAGTAAACGTTATAAAACGGTAGTAAACGTTGCCGTATACGGCCGTTTAGATCGTATCAGGTCACCGTAATGTTCGACCTGGGTCACTATTTACTAGAAAAACGTGCGATACATAACAATCCGATGAAAATTAATCGAGTGTATACGTACATTTGATAGCTGTTTGTTTTAATTTCTCGACCATCTGCTCCTGGTTCTTTTTGTATTCCGCTTCGCTAAAATGAAATCGGTGTAGCAGCGGGCAATGATTATGGTGACTTACAATAATAACATTAAAAGACGTTTGTCGTCATCCAATTCATACCCAACATCATTCAGTTTTTGACAATCTTGAATAACCACTAAATGAAAATTTTAATTAAGAATAATGTATTCCAATGTTTCAATATTTTTCTTACTTTTAAAATCTTCGAGTTCAAATGCATCTCGAATTCTGTGTTTCAAATAGAGAATAATTTCATTTTTATCTGTCGACTTGTCAATGATATTTGTCAAAATCTTAAAATTGCATTCAAGATTAATAGCATCAAAGGTTAATAATAAAGACAAACCTTTATACCATCATGATATTTCTCGTTTTCTCTCGCAAACATGTACGCCTTTAGAGTATTTTCTGAATCGTTATCATTACTCATTGACACAATATGGACAGACGCTTAATTTAAAAAAAATGAAAAACAACAGTGTTCGAAAAGAGACTGTGCTTATGTTTTTCATGAACAGATCCGACGCTTTTATATCTGAGAGAAGATAATAGTCAGACAAAGGGCTGTGAGCGTATCGGACGATTACGGTGCCCCTTACGTAGTGCGCACCCAGTCTATGGTTTGACGTGAAATATGACGAATTTTTCGATACACTGAAATTTAAAATGATTGTCAACAAAATCAATCAATTCTTTTCTAATTTAAAAAAAAATTATTTCTCATCCTAATGCACTCTCGGTATGCCATCGATACAAGCGCCATCTATAGCAGTTCTATTTATATCTTCCGAACTATCGTCTGCTCTTCAAGTACAACTCGACGGACACTTTATGGCATAGACTTTCACGACAGAGGGTGTAAATGTTCCCTTCACTCATTCTGGCACCCACGCCCTCACACACACCCTACCTTGTAAATCAACTCCTTCGAGGATTTCAGTCAATTGAATCCATGAATCGATATCGTTTGGATCGTGTTGTGTCACTTTTTCCAAATATTCTTTTGCTTGATATCGTTGATCTGGATCGCTGGATTCACCATAAATGCTAGCTAAGATTTCCATTGATTCGTGATCATTCGGATGAATTTTTCGGATTTTTTTTGGAAACAATCACTTGCCTAAATGGCGAGAAAATTCGAATAGATATGAAATAAATCATTAACTCTCACAATGGTTGTATCTTCTCGCTGTAAATACATTTGTCCAAGACCGAATAATGGTAAAACGAATTTTCCGCTGCTAAATGTGTTGCTTGGTAATAGTATCGAAATGCTTCTTCATAATCACGTTCGACATGATAAGCTCGAGCTAAATGATAGCAACCTTCAGCACGCACAGCTCCGTTTTCTGTATTATTCAATGCGTGCATGGCCAATTGACGAACACATGTATAATCCTATACGAAATGATTTACAAATAAAAATCGAATGTAGCGTAGCGTACGTTTTTAAAGAAAAAATGATTCGCTAAATGATTTAAATCCATTGGATTTTATGGATCATATCGAGAAGCTCGTGAAAGTTTAACAACACCATTACGAATCGACGCGGGTGTTTTCGTATTTAATTCAATTATAGCTAAAGCAACTCATGCACCAACACATTTCCCTGTAATATCAATAGCACGATTGAATGATAACCGTTTGAAAACAAAATGATGATTCCGATTTTTCTTGTATTGTATTTCCACTAATACTCTGGTATCCTGTTACATTATATTCATCATCAAATATTGAACATGCACTATCAAAACTTTTACCGAATTCTCTATCATCATCATCCAATGTTTATTTAAAACCAATCTCTGGTCTTTTTGAAATAACACCATTAAACTATACAATGCGTTCATCAAGCGATGGTACACGTCTTGAATGTGTTGACATGATACATTTACTAACATTGCGAACGTATGAAACAGCAAATGCACCACTACCGCCAAATGTTACGCTCGCTAACGGTTCTCATCCGCTCTATCATCAAACGACATCACGTTCAAGACCTCCACCACCACTTCCACCGGGTATATCAAAATTTAGTTCGCAAATTACATTTCCATTTTCGTTTTCAACGCCGAATATAAATACATATTATGAGACTGTTTGCATGTTTCCACCGCAAACAAATTCAACTACAACAACAACAAATGACGCAACATCCGATATTGTTTCATCGTTTCCCATCGCCTCGTCAACAGCAATCGACAATCAAACGAATAATAATTTAATTGGTGCATCACCATGGTTGCTGTGCCGATATTGATGGCACGCTTCGATGATTCTCCTTCCTCTTCCTTCTATTCTTTTTCCATTATTATAATATATCTCTCTCCTGTCTCTCTTCTATCTCTCTCCTATATATACGTGTGTTATGTATGAAGTTGTTACACTCTGGATATGTGAATAAACGAACAAACATCATTGCCGTGAGTGGCTGTAAGCTACTCCACCTCTATCCAGTTTGTCAATACGATATAAACTAAACAGAGTCTTATTTATCGTTACAGTTACCACATTTGGCATCGAAATTTAAAGATAAACCAGGTTTACAGAAAGAACTAGATGGTATTCGAGTTTCACTCGACTACGAAATGCGGTGCGAAGCACACGAGCCGAATTTTCGAAAGTAGCGAGAATAAGATTTAAAAAATAAATGATCCACTTTAAGATTCATTAGAGTCGATTATTTTTTTAAATTTCCGTATACGAATTTTGAATGAAAATTTCGCATTCACTATTCTTAAATCGACCATTTTGAATTTCATTACTAGGAGATCTTTCTGAAAATGTAGCAATCAGTTGTTTAACGATTTTTTTCATTAAACGATTAATTATTTTCATGAATCATTATCTTGAATCAGATGTAAAGCAATAGATTATTGGTTAACAACTATTGATGACGTCATTTTAATTATCGCGAACTTTGAAAATGAGAAATTCCTTTGTTTTTTGTCATTTTGGAACTACATTTATGAGTGGATGAATTTTCAGATTGATGATCCGAAAAAAGATGTTAGAAGTTCGATCTGAATGCTTTCGTCTCATGTTTTAATGACACTTCTATGATTTTCCGTTCTGGAGATCATTGCTATACAAAATGACAAAAAAGATTCGTACGCGTCAAGTAAAAAAGTAAAAACAAAATAACTCGCGACGGACTACATGAATGCGGTGCGAAGCACCGCATTAAAAATTCTGGGAAAATGAATGTCAGAATCAAAAAGGAACTTTCACTAATATTGAATCTATTATTGCTGCAATCGAACAAGCGAATTATCCACCTGAAAATAATCATCCAACTAACAGTAT